GTAGTACACAATTAACGCTCTTCAGCACCACCACCTGGCCGATTCTCATCAATCGAAAGGACAGATTTTCGTTTGAGCATGTGCAGTTTGCATCTTGAGATTTTTGTTGAACAAAGCCACTAACCTGTCGATTTTCGTCCAACTAGACAAAGTTTTCTAGCCTGCTTGAAATACAAAAATCTGCCACTTGTACAATAATTGAGTTTGTTCACTTCCATCAACTGGCAGATTTTCAGACAAAAGCACAATCGCAGACAAAAATCTCCAGATAAATGTAAGGTGTATGGGCACCTTAAAAACAGGGAAGGCCAACATCGGCACGCCAGCTGAGGTGAAAGTACAACTCCCATGAGGCATTACAAAACTCAGTCACAGGCATTATTTCCTGAGGCCGATGTATGATGGGATTTGTAGTTTCACCACGGATGGAGGGCTGAAGTTTGGCTACCCCTGCTCTAGAACACATAGAATTGACAGCTATAGGCAAAATTCTTCTCTCTCTCAAACACCAGCCAATTCAAACTGTGCAAAAGAGGATAACAATGCATAAATAGAGGTTATTCCCAGTAAAAACAAATCACCAGATACAGCGATTTAGGCAAGTATAGTTACTGTAGAGGTTCAACTTTTCCTAACATCATGCTTGGCCTAACCCCTTCTATCTATTAAACAATGAGAATACCCATCAAATTTTTGGACCAACAGGGAGGTTTGGAAAAAGGGAAGGGGCACAAGCCCTATGTGTAGACAGAGAAAATATACAAATTTGCATACAAACTTCAGCTGCCTATATCTGGATCTAATGATAATTTGCGACGGTTTTCTTGGAGCTTAAAGGAGAAGTACAGGGAGTATTTGGCTCCAAGACCAAGAGCAGATGATCATGTAACTGCTAATCACTCAGCTCTCATTCTTTACCCCAGTGGAGAGCAGTGGTGGTCCGTCACTACCCCCCAAAGTGCGCCCAGCAGGGATTTCACCACTCCCCTCTCTGCTCCTGCAGCTTTCACTGGAGCTACAGGTCAGACAGGATGGGCACAGCAGGCTTAGCCTCTTGACTGTCAAATTTGTCAGGATCCTTCCCGGCATGTGGCTGTGGCATGGCTCTGCCCTGTCAGCCAATAGTGGCATTAGCCCGCTATCGGCTGATTTTGTGTCACAGTAGAGTATTAGTAAATGCACTCCTGTAAGCCAAAAGAGAAGTAAAGCCAAAAAAGGTTTCGCTTTTACTTCTTATTTAACTTCTGCTTATGCAGTCTTTCCATTATATGTTCAGTTTTAACTGGCTAGGATTATAAAAAATGTTTTTTTTGAACATTAGTTATCTCCCAAAGTTTTACATAAGCTTACAATAACTACATCGCTAACGCGACTTAGGGGAAGAGGACTGGTAAACAGGAAGTTATGTTAAGAGATAGACTTCCTGTTTTCTAGTTATACATGTTGTCCTGAGCTGCTGTCCAGATGCAGCCATTATCAGATAAGTGATGAACTCTGGAAGAGGTAGCAATATAGAATCTGCACAGTACCAGGATACATGCAAATACAAGGATTTTGAAGTCCGGCTTAGTGACTTCAGGAACAAAGTATCTCATAATCTCACTCCTTTTCAGTATTTAGAAAGTAAAGAAGCACACTATGTGTTGGCTGACACATAGAGTTCTATTGGAAGTAGACGCAATAGAGCCAATAAAAGTAGAGCGCTGCAAAGCAGAATGCAGCGTCTGCCTATGTAATGAGCAAATATTACTGTCCCCATGCACAGATGTACAGTATAATTCCACGTTATGCTCAGACCCAAAGTTTTGAATCACTAACAAACTGATAGTTATTTAAAAAAATCTCATGTCTTTACTTAAAGAAAACAAAATAAAACAATAATACAATCAGATTTTGATTATTTTACTAAACAGAGCTTTTAAATGGTTTCTGCTATCTCAGGCAGCACAAGACTACACCTGATAACAGGACTACAATAGGCATGTTCATGGATGAAGGTATCATGGTTGGCTGCCGTGCAGGTATCATGGTTGATAATCATGATCCGAAAGTGCCCATCTCCAGCAATGCAACGCCCGCAATCTCCCTTGTCTCTCCATCGCAGACAACTTTGTTTGCTCATCTTCTGCGTTCAGAGCCGTTGTCCGGGATCGTCATCATTTAATTCGTCCCAGCACCCAAGGCATCATCACTGAGCTGCACAAGAGTTACTTAGGAATGGAAGGAAATTGCTAGCAGGTAAAGCAGAAGCTTTTATGGCAGATATACAAAGTATCAAAGTAGTAGGTGAACAACACACAGCATTTTTGTCGACTGAGTGGTGTCGGTGTCTTTTGTTGAATAACTCAACCACTCCCACTCCTGGATTTCTGCATACATGAAGTTTGATCACGTTGCAGTACAAGTTAAGAACTAAGAGAGTGACTGAAATAACACAAAATTAAGCAAGAAAAGGGCTTATATACATTTTTAGTATGTAAATAGCATGGCCAGAACTAAAGCTGAAACTAAACTCCGGAAAGAAAGGAGATAAAAAGTTTTTTTTGTAGAAGAGATATTTCTATTGATTGTACTCTTCCTGTGTCTATAAGATGCTGAGAAGATGATGCAACTCCTGTGCATGTGTGCTGGAGGTACATCATCAGTGGTTGACCATTGGCGGAAACAGAAGACGCCAGGCCCAGAAAAAGACTAACAGATGTCATCAGTGGCCAAGGCCAATGCTATGGAGGAGGATCACAAACATTACAACACCGGAGGAGGGCACACTAGAGGGTAACTGTGCTATAATGCGCAGGTATTCAATGTATGGTTGCACATTATGGCAAGAGCCACCCAACCATGCAAGTTACACTTTAAGGGCTATCTGGACCCACTAAAAACTACTTGATAGTTTGAAAGGCACATGCATTTTCCACGCCTTCTCCCCACCCAGACTATTAGTTTAGTACTCGATACAGGTGACAGGTTTTTCTTTTTTTAAATATAAAAAAGTAAATATAAAAATACATTGAAAAATTAATAAGTGATATTGCTCCAATAAAATTAAGGGCTTTAAATGTTAACATTTGACAAAGGTTAGTTTATAAAAACAACAGATTGTGCACCAAAATGTCCAGCAGTTCCCACTAGACTTAATATCCACTACACTTAATATTTGAAATGGCCACTAGATGGTGTTAATGTTTCTCATGATCTGCTACACTGAAATGTCAGCTGGAAATGGTAACCTGAATTACAGCAGACATTACATTAACCTGATTTTCAGTATTAGGGATAATTTTACAATCCATCTCCTCTAGACAGGGAACTGCTCTTCCACATACTTGCTACATAAATCTTTAGAATTTAATTTGGTAAGGAGAAAATAGTCATAAATCCAAAACAAAAATGGATTCAATTTAACCATGTAACCTGGATGCCCCAGACATTGGTCTGGACTGTATCTATGGTAACCAGGCAGGTGGTGGTGTCACATCTTATAACTCAATATATTATAGGATTATTCAATACCCAGTAAAAACAGTATGCATGCGCAATAACCTATAGCAACCAGTAGAACGTTAGGTTTCATTGGTTTGTTAACTTTAAATGCGAATTGTGATTCCATACTTAATGTACTTCGAGACTGTTTACAGTATTTTATGAAAGAGTTTTGTCTCAGAAGTTAAGATTTTGATACAGAATCTAACAGAAGTATTTTTCTAACTGACAGAGTGCAAAGTTCTGCTATGCAAAAGCAGCTAGGCATAAATATACATAGATAGGTCTATGGTACATTGGATTTGCTTCAGCTTTAAAGAGGAAGAGGAAAAGGCACCAAACGGCACGAGGATTATCACTTCCCATTTTGATGCTAGAATGTCACAAAAACAAAGCCATTATAATATAATGGCAAAATGTTGTGGAATAAAATGAATGTATTCTATTTGTTAAAGGTTAGAAAAGCAACTGACTCTTGAACATGCCAAGGGGATTTATATGCCAGTCTCCATTATCAGAACAAACACAAACAGTCGGTGAGTACAACTACTTTTTTTTTTTAGCACCTAGAAACACAAATGAGTACTTAACCCTTGGAATGTGGGGAGATAGATAGGATAGATAGGCTGGATTATGTAGAGCAATTTAAGTACACACAAGTCTATCCCTGTGGATCCACTTGGATTCTATGCTCAGGCTATGCATAGGGCTTCAATTTTTCTATAGGCCTAAAACCTGATGTTAACACATACTGTATACTATCAGGGTTATTCACAAAAGGGTGAAGAGTTTGGAGAAGGCAGGAGAAGTGACCAATCTAGAACATAGCTGATTTGGAAAAAAAAATATCCAATTCAGCTCACTTTCCAGTTCAGCTATATTGTCCTAGATTTTTCACTTCTCCTGCCTTCTCCAAACTCTTCACCCTTTTGTGAATAACCCTGATAGTGCCTGCCTTTCGGCTCTGGGTTATTTTATGGACAAGTCAAGTTCTTTTAAGGCATGCAGTTAAAATTCATGTGACAGATAAACAAGAGAACAAAATATGACAGTATGACAGACCGGAAAGAAGCAATGAAAAAGGTTTGGATAGCAAAGGGGGTCATGTAAAATGGAAGATCCGAATGGTTTAGTGTCTGTGGGTACAACACAGAATGAAGTGTACAGTAAAACATAACATTTACATCTCAATGAAATAAACAAGACTGCACATGTTAATAAAATATAGCATCCCAAGAAGAACATGGTATAATATAGGAGATACATTTTCCAGGTGCATAAAGTTATTTGCTCTAAAGTCTTCACTCCTAAGTAAACACCAGACTGGGAGACTAGGGCCCTTCCATCCCACAGTGATCACAATGTTAACCTTACACACAAATATTAGACAATTTATATCAGTTACAGCTAGACATCCTATACAAGCATACCATTTTGTGCATATACAGTGACATGGTAATAAAAATGTATTCATGTAAAAATAACTGATGGCTAAAAGGAATCCGTCCACTCCTTACCTCGTGTAGTTGCACCTCTTTCTTTTTGGATGACAAGTTCATGTGCTTTTCCAGAACACTGCAGTATTTCTCTGTCTCTTTGTCATACTTCTTCTTCACCTCCTGCAGGGAAGAGACAAAGGTTTACTGGCATAAAACATTATGGCTGTTCAAATATTTGATTAGAGTTTCTTTATATTTCTGGAAACCTGAGATGTTAGCGCAGCATGTGGAACCATTTGAAAATTGTAAAGCGAATATAAATGAGTATGTCCAAATTTTGTTTGGTGCCATACTGGAAACATGTTTAGTGTAAAACCATGGATGAAAAGAAGGAAAACCATAGACTGATTGTACTGCAGCATTGAATTACTAAAGTAAAAAAATGTAAGAGGAAATGCAGATGTGGTGACATATGTCTCTAACAAATTTTATATTGTCCTTACTTGGACAGCCAATAAAGCGGTGGAAGTCATAAAGTGTGACCCCTGACAAAACCCAAGGGCCATACGTAATTTTCTGCAATTTTACAGAAGCCAGTCAATAACTATGAACATGCTACAGGAGACGTTAAGAAATTACAGAAATGCCACTTAAGACCATCGGAGCCTATGAGCATGCTACAAGAGATAGACTGTGAACATACACTACAGGAGGTGTCAGAGTACGCACATGCTACAAGAGAAGGTCAGAGAGTAGAAAGATGTTGCACAGAATGAATAGAGATGATGGACATGTTTCAGGAGTAGTTGGTGACTGGGAACATGACAGAAATTAAGACAGAGACTGGTTCAAATTGAAATTGCTAGAGATCACTGACCTTATAACCCGTTTACAAACAAATGCTACTATATGTGTGCTCTCTACTGCCCACTTTAAACATTACTGAAAGCATATTTGATATTTCCCACAGCATGATCCATTCTAAAAAGATCAGAAAAAAATACCCAAATAAAAAGGGAAAGGAAATGGACAGCACAAAAAAAAAGTATGAAAGTATGAAAGAAATAAACCAAGCCATTGGACTAGCAGAAGCCAGTCTAAGAAATATTTCTTCTTTACTGGCATGTGATCTATGTCTATCAGTGTAGGAACTGTGGTAAGTTGCCGAGATTCATGCAATGCATGTACTACATAGTACAATGTGGCAGCTGCCATAGTGTACATAGAATGCTATGGAGAGCACTTTCTCTAATCTCCACATTACAGCGGTATCCAGTACTAAGTAAAGGATCTTGCTTTTAGGAATATCAAGTATGGCTACTTCTGGTGCCACCACAACTCCTCCTCCTCCTCCTCCTGCTGCTGCTCCCCTGCCCATACCGGCTGACTAACAGCATAGTACATCCCAGTATCATAACCGCTAATGATGTTTCAGTACATTTAAACATCATAAGCTACCAACCTGAGCCTCTGCAGTGACCCCCCCCCCCCCCTCCCCCCTCCTAGGCTTTAGCTTGCAAATAGGAAGCAGGATAGCCAGATCATGCAAACTAATTAGAAGACCTTTCTATGGTGCATTCGTTATTTTTTTTCTGTTAGGTTTTTTAAAGAATTCATCCGACTGCTGTAAAATGTTAAACATCGCTCCATTGCATCTGGAGTACAGCACAAATTTAAAGCTGAATGCCGGGTATAAAAATATAATGTATACTTACATTGGTCCAGATTGACCCAATATAACATGATGCCACCACCCCTCGTCCAATCAGAGAATGCCTTATAATTAATGATAAAAAAATACTAAACTATTCTCTGAATGACCACTGTGCCAAGTGAGCAACACACTGCTTTTAGAGCAGAGGGGAAGCTGCTCAGCACCATACAGGACACAGAAGATCACCATATAGCACTGTAGTAGCTACTCCCTACAGTGCTTTACGGGATCACCATAGGCCAACCAGGTATATCATAAACAAGGGGCGCCTTTCCTGGTGCAGACAAATTTATTAAGATCATGATATACTTCTATCATGAATTTTGTGAGTATGTTTTATATCTACCTTCTATTTTGATCTTAATAAATTTGTCTGCACCAGGAAAGGCGCCCCTTGTTTGTGTTTTTTCCCTAGATTTACAGTCTCCCCGGCTGATTTGGGGCAGCATCCTACAGACACACATTTTTTTAAACGTGTTTTTAAACGTGTTTTTTATGAATGACCACTGTGCCAAGTGAGCAACACACTGCTTTTAGAGCAGAGGGGAAGCTGCTCAGCACCATACAGGACACAGAAGATCACCATATAGCACTGTAGTAGCTACTCCCTACAGTGCTTTACGGGATCACCATAGGCCAACCAGGTATATCATAAACAAGGGGCGCCTTTCCTGGTGCAGACAAATTTATTAAGATCATGATATACTTCTATCATGAATTTTGTGAGTATGTTTTATATCTACCTTCTATTTTGATCTTAATAAATTTGTCTGCACCAGGAAAGGCGCCCCTTGTTTGTGTTTTTTCCCTAGATTTACAGTCTCCCCGGCTGATTTGGGGCAGCATCCTACAGACACACATTTTTTTAAACGTGTTTTTAAACGTGTTTTTTATTTACTCATTCACCAATTTTTAATTCAATCATCAATTTCCAAACAGACTTTGATTCTAATTTTATTCATGTGTACATTGGTTTGTACTGGTTGAGCAGTCCTCTCTGGCGCTTTTTTGTTTTTTTCTGAACCAGGTATATCATATCTATATCTACATTGGACAAAGCTGGACTAATGCAAGTATGCATAATTCTTTATACCTGCAGTTCACCTTAAACCCTTTACTTTTATATTGTGTTGCTATAGAATTTTAATAAAACCAGTGCAGCTTGAGCACTGCCCTGTACTAATGCCAATTTAAGGCTGCAGGCACACGTGCTGAGATTGGTGTGGCCACCTCCACAGTACAGACAGTAAGCTGTACTTATATTAGCTCACCACAAGGTGCAAGCCGTCAGTGTGGACATTTCAGTTCACGTTCTCAGTATCAGAACATGTAGACATGGTAAATAATCAAGATGCACCCCAGGTACTGCATGCTTAATTTCAGCCAATCCTCCATTTGGAATAGAGTCAATGATGCTGATTTACCACAAGTCTTCCCTTGTTCACTTTGAAAACACAGTCATGTGCAAATGAAATAAGCACTAAGCATGCTTTTCACATGACTGGATAACTAAAGTGAATCTTTACTCTATTTAAAATCGAGTGATTCTCAACTCTTTTAGCAAATCAGCCCAAAAGTTCTGTTTGTAGCATGGGTAAATGGCTAGCTTGTGGCAAACCAAGCTACTGCAGACAATCCATCTATAGCCATAATCTACCGGTGCATGAAAATAAAGACAAATTAAAAGGACTCTTAGATTCAAATAATTTAAATTAAAATGTAAAAAATAATTAATGCATTTCAAAAGTTTCAAGTATCCCAACAATTAATCCCTCAGTTAACACACATGCACTAAGAAGCAACAGTGCGTGGAAATCATAATCCAAGGTACCGCAGTTCTGAAAACATTGTTCTTTGGTGTTAGTAGAGAGGTACATTCTGGTGAATACAGAAAGCCAACAGGAGAGGTAATTTAGGGGAATCTGAAGGATCTATGTCAAAACAGTTGCAAATCCTTTAAGCTGGCATAAGTCTTTTCACTTGTTTTTCTCACCAGCCTATAGGCTCCTGTAAATAAGCAGTCAAGACACATTCACTGTCTATTTGTTACCTTTGCAGCCCCAATCTGCTCCTTTCGGAATTTTTCAAGAGGTGTAATAAGAACTTCTCCAGCATTTTCGATCTATAAAAATGAATACAAACATTAATCAGTAATAAATAAATCATTAAAATGTTTACATCAGCAGTACATCAGATCAGATTGTTCCACTAGAAAGATTTCACCCCAACCTAACCATCATAAAAAATTAAACCAGAAGGTAATCTAGGAAGCACCATGCCATCTCCTTTTAGGCAGAGCAGCTACTGAACTGCTCTATGTTAGGAAGGAAACAGAGTTTCCCGATTCATTTGAGAAGCTTCTTTATCCTCTCCAGTTCTATCACCAAGTTCACAAATAGGTGCCCAGACAACAGAAGAAAAAAAAACCCTGTATAAACTGTATTTATGTGCGGTCATCTTTTATTATCCAGCCTACACACGTATTAAGTATATGGCAATATGTCCATACTATTTTAGCATTGTGTCCTGATGAATCCTGGGTTCTTGACTTTAACCTCCACATGCATACAAGGCAGGGCTGGACAAATCCCAGGAGCCAGGTAGCCAATGCTCCTGAAAAACTACAGCTGGCGCAAAACTTTTGGAGGTTTTATCTAGTTGTTGTCAATGAAGCAGGCACCTAAAAAATATCCTGTTGGCTCCTGGATTGGACAGACTGGCTCCTGAATCCCGTTATAAATTCTACCCCAATATAAGGCATTACAAGTTACAGATAGGGGAATACAGGGATTCACGCTTGATAGCGATTTCCCTGTATATAATCTCAGCCCTTCTCCAACACTGTCCACAGCCTAGAAACCCAGTAGAACAGAGGAAATGGGCAAGATATAGGGGGGAACTGTAGTGATTCTGACAACTATGTAGCTCAGCAAGCTAAACATCTCTAAACAACTATAAAATAATGTCCCTCCCAAAAAAGTACAAATCATCTTTCCCCTTTACTCCTGGCACAGTACTTCTGATAGGACATTCTGATGAGGAACTATGGCTACCATTTCATTTGTCTGTTAATGTACATCTTTAGTGGAAGCCCTGAATGCCATATCATCAGATAAGGCTTCTTCCATTTTATGGTTTCTAAAATCATTCTAAACTTTCATGACATGTAACATCATTATGAGCATCTGCTAAGCTTCACTCACTGACAGGATATATAATAAATCCAAGGAGAGATCAGTCAAGATGTCAATTATAGCCCTGACCTGATCAATTAGATACTGATCTATTGTTTCCTGGAATGTAGGCAGTTTCTAAAGCATAAATGCAACATTTATTACATAGTAGAGAACAAATGGAATATGCAATAAACCAGACCTTTAACCCCTTTCACTAAAAATTACATCAGCATGAAGCCGATATGAAATCATCTTGCGTTCATTTGTTAAACAAATATACAGTTACTGTTTTTCCACCTTCTGGTTGAGTGAGGCACTGGAGATGTAGCCCTGGCCTCACAGATGCATTCACCCAGTTAGGAAACTGTCTATTAATAATGATTGGTGCCTTCAACTGGAAAAGTTTTTGCTCAATGACATCCCATTTCCAAATAATGTCTATAGATCAGAGAGATCTATAAACAGGTACTGAGATATGGCATGCCAGGGCTTTCTACTGCTTTTCTTGCAGCTGATTGTGGCCTTTAAAACACAAAGTAGAGGATCTGACTGTTTAAATGTGTTGTAAGAAAATACATGCTACTTAAAAGGAAACCTGCAAACCCTGTATATATACCTGCTCTCTTTTATATATAGTTATTATACAATGAATAATTATAGCTACTGTGGTATTGCATGGCAATCCCACCATGGAATTTTGTATTATGATCACCTATGACTCTAAGCCAGAGTCTTTCCAGGGAAAGAGCTGGAAAGAGCTGGCTTTTCAGTTCTTTAGGGATTTTTGGATTCTACATGGGATCCTGGAACCAGGAGGTTTCAAAGTGATTCAGGTGGGAAGAGGTCTCCAGTCCTGGGTCCAGGATTTATCAGTAACCAACGCCCAATGATTGCAGAGCTGTGTACAATCCTTAAGGAAAGGTCAGGTGAGCTCCTGCTGGGAAATAGGAACAGATGGTGTTCAGGAGTCGAGGACTCCCCCAGAAGTCAAAGTGGAGTGAGGTGGGGTGTTTGCTGGAGGCACACAGAGACAGCCAGGGAGGCTGGGGGAACTGGTGAGACTGGGAGAGGTGCTGCCAGCAATACAGAGAGGACCGGCAAGTTAAAATTATTAAATGTTAAAAGTTGAAGCCAGGAGGCTAAGCTTGTGTTTTGCAAGCATTGCATGGATGCTGCACTGAACAACCCATGCTAAAAGGTATACAATGTGAATATGTAAACTTTTGTTTAAATAAAATAGAGCTACCAAGCTCTTAAACAGATGATACTGCGAGTGGACTGCATCCTTAAAGCCCTCACCACATATCCCAATATCCTCAATCACACTATAACAAAACAGTATAACAAGTAGTAATATGAAGTAAAAACAAAGTTCAGCATTAATACATTTTGATAGTATATACTGTATAGCAGGCTGCTCATATTCATCATATATATCCTATAAAGTGGAAATAACTTCACCCCAAAAAAAAAAAATGCTGATTGGTAGGCTTTCTATGGCAGAAGAGGCTGTGTAAGTGTCTTTTGCCCCAAAAGGTGTTTTTTTTTTTTTGCTGTACGCTGAGCCACATACTGTATGAGCAGCTCAGCACACAGACCCGGCATGCAGAGATGAATTACGTCATGCTGGACAGACAATCAAGAGGCCAAAGATGCTGAACCCAAAACATGACCGGGGAGAAGATGGAAGAGGTGCAGGAGGAGCACAGCGCTGAATGTGATAGCACATTATGGCAGACTTGCCTGCCAAAGCAAATATGCTCTGCATACTACCACATTATGGCTAAAAGCTCCAGGGAAGTTGGTTTCTTTAGTTTAAAACTTGATTTTACTTCTGCTTTAGGAATTTAATAAAACCTTAGTTGCACAGACCTTTTTTTCCAACCAGCTTGTATTTTATGATTTCAATTTACTGGGACAATTTAGGAGGACAATAGGATTTTAGCACTCCGCATAAAATGCTTTTTTTTGGTGTCCATTGAAGAATACAGAAAATCTTTAACATTAGGGTTATACTACCACCTACAGGAAGATTGGACACCGGTAAACAAAAACAAGCAAATGCATACTAACACTCTATTGAGGGTCATAGGAAGTTATTAAGCTTCAGGTCCTCAAAAAGCAGTACAGCTGAGAGGTGAGCAACACAGCAAACAAATACTAACAGGCCCAAACAGAAATGAATCAAAGACATGAGTTTCATCTGGCTCCTCCAGAAACAGAAGCAGCAGCATGGAGATGCTACTTCAACACTGGACAACAGAGCGTGGAACTTGTGCAACACCAGATCAGCGCTCACAACATAACCCATTCCACAGTGGAAAGCGGCAGAAAATGGGGAATTTTAAAAGGTGCTCAGAGATCAAAGTATACTACTCACTAAGTGAAACAAAGTTACAAAAGAGAAAGACTTTTGTGTGCAACACTGAGAAAATCCAGATAATTTAAAAATCAATAACATTTTTTTTTTACATGAACAAGGTAACATACATGTCAAATGGTAAAAGCACTTCGTTATGGATATGCAATAGGTCATATAAGCTTTAGATAATATCAATAGTAGTGTGCCACCCATGGTCTGGCAGTTTTTACAGCAGTAGAATCCCTGAGAAAAGGGACTCTGGCTTATATAATGTATTACATATCCATAATTATTTGTTTTTAACCATGTGACATGCATTTTACCTTGTTCAGTAAAACAAATGTTTTTTCTCAGTGTTCTACGCAAAGAAATAATAATAAATACACACACACACACACTTGTATATCTATATAATGGGAACAAGCTTGTGGTAGTAGCTACTTTACAACACACACAGGGACCATGGGGAACAAAATTAGCCACACTCCAGGAGGAAGGACAGTGTCAGCATGAATTCACAGCCGATTTGAGGATCTACAGTTGAGTAATGCGCAAATAAGATACATTTTTGTTAATCGTTAAGGTACTTGAAAGCATTTTTAAGATTTAACTTCTGAGTTTAGTGTCACTTTAAATCCGTGTAAATGATTTCTACTCTTCTCATTCCTACTGATACTCACTAAGCAAGTCTTCAGAGACAGGGTTAATCGCTGAGGCAGGGCCAGCAGCTCTGAACTTAGAAATTGTTCCCCTTCTTTTACCCGAAAGAACTGAAAAGCACCTTACTAGGAACCTCCCAGTGGCTAGGGTTCCAGGCTATCCCCACACCAGCAGGTTCCAGCTGCATCACTCCATAAGTCAGGCAGAAGACCAGAGAGCTATAAATCGAAGAGAAAAGGCTCTAGCAGTGATGTAGAAAAAAGTCTTGCTTTAAAAAAAAAAAAACATTTGAAAAAAAAATGGTGCTAATTTTTAACATAGCAGAGCTACAGAAAAGACACCCATCCTCCTAGGGGACTAGCATAAAACTGAGGAATGCTAGCAGTTGGGGGGGTTATCCCAGGCTTGCCTACCTGTTACTTGTTTGCAAGCATCCAATCCGCCTGTAGGCAGCAGTATAACTTGAAGGTTAAAAGACTTCCTGTGTCCTTCAAATGGACAAGAAAGAAAAACAAACATACAACAGCCACTGAAATAACACATGGCATCAGAGTCTAACAATATTACAAACTTGGTGGCTCTGGAGTTCAAATTATTTACTTGCCATAGTGCAAGCTCTGAGACACACCTGCTAAACTGCATTTTGTTTAGTCATTTGTAAATGTCCTGTGTCACCGGGACCACTTACCATCCGCATCCTCTCATCTTCAAGATTGCCCAGTACAGCAGCGAATTCCTGCAAAGACCTGGCTGGAGAGGCAATGGAAGGAAGTTAGAACAATACAGTGCTGCCATAAGGGATGTCAGCATACAGCAGCAGTACAGATAGCTTCCTGTATAAATGTCAGCAGACTTGCTACTAATATTGTTTCCATGCAAACGTATTCTGGAGAGAAAATGTGGTGGACAATATTACAAAAATCCTTTAGTCATTCATAACTTTCTTTTCTGCTTTGGGGAAAGTTCCTGGTTCAATATGGTTGAAGGGTTTTTTTCTTCTTGTTTCAGACCTACCAGTTATGCCATATGGAAAAAGCAAGAACAGAAGCTAAAATGTAATTGGACCTTTACCCACAGATATGGGTAAAGGTCCACTTTAACACCATAAATTAAAAAGGTAACCTGCACTGAAATAAATATTCAGGCTGCCTTTGCAGACTTCTTTCTCCTAATACTAGTTGCCTAGATTTCTCTGGCTTTAGTACTTTATGATTCACAAACATAGAACAAAACACATATCCATCCAGTCTTTCTCTAGGTCCCTAACAAATTATTAAAGCAACTGGATTGGTATGACAGACAGGCAAGTAGGATTTTCAGAAGGTCAGGAATTGCAGTGTGCCCATTTCTCCCACCATGGGTTCCTTTTAAAGGAACACCTCATTTTTGCAAAAAGTTATATATATATA